TTAAACTTGAAAGCAAGTGACTTCATCCAGTCAGACCTCTAACAAAAGAGGTAACAGGCACAGCTTTAAAGTGATCAAGAAAGGAACGTCTTCCTAATTTCTTCCACGTCCTGTTTAGTTACCTTTTGTTTATAATTCATACATTCCAGTCTGCAGGCAAGGAGCTGCCTATACCATGAGTGATAAAACCAAAACATTTTAAAGTATCACAACAGCAACATAATGCGTTTCCATAAGATATCCAATGATTTAGTGTCTTAGAGTGTGACATTAAAAATAAAATAATAATTAAAAAAAAAAAAAAATCAATAAAGCAATGCAAATAAAGAAAAAGTTAATTTACAAGAGAATGATGTATAACAAACATACTCTGTCTCTTTTTTAAAAACAAATCTAAAATCAAAGATTTAGGATTGAATAGACTTCAACAGCTGTCCTGGTTTCAGCTGGGACAACGTTAATTTTCTTGCTAGTAGCTGGTACGGCACTCTCTTTTGGCTTTAGTCTGAGGACAACGCTGATAACACACCACTGTTTTAGTTGTTCCTAACTAGTGCTTACCCTGATCAAAGCCTTTTCAGTCTCTCATGCTCTGCCAGCAAGGAGGGGCACAGGAAGCCAGGAGGAAGCACAGCCAGGACACCTGACCCAAACTGGCCAAAGGGATATTCCATACCATAGAATGTCATGCCCAGTATATAAACTGGGGGGAACTGGTCAGGAGGCACCAATGGCCTCAGGGATTGGCTGGGCATCGGTCAGTGGGTGGTGAGCAGTGGTACTGTGTATTAGTCCAGATGCTTTTCAGGGCACAGGAGCTTATTCCTTCCTCTCTCCCTCTGGTTATTTTTTCTTTTTAATTTATTAACTTTTGTTTCAGTTATGAAACCATTCTTACCTCAACCCATGGGGTTTTACCTTTTTTCATATTCTCCTCCCCATTCCACTGGGGAGCAGGGAGGAAGTGAGCAAGCAGCTGCATGGTACTCAGTTGCCAGCTGGGCTTAAATCACCACACAGCTTTAAACTAGTCCTTGCTAATATGAATCAAGGTATTTGATGGTGTCCTTGTTTTACAAAAGTATCCAAAACTGTTCAAAACTATTATTAACAATAAAGATTTTGATGGTTACTGCATGTTTTACACTATGGGGAGCTACTCAGCTTCTCTGTATTTACCCACAGCTGAAGCACAGCAGGAAAAGTATTGCAGACTGGTACCACTTACGCAAAAGGGGTAAATTCCTTGAGAGCAATACTTACTGTTATGCACAGTTTAGAATTCAGCTATCTGGGATTTAAACTGCTGTTCAGTGCATCATGTTTACAGCCTCTGCATTACAGGTGTGAAGGATTTTAATGAACGCTTTATATCAGAGCGTTATAAACTGAACTTATTGGGAAGACAACATGTTAGATATGTTAGATATACATAATGCTTCTTTGGGGGTCTGAGCAAGGCAAAAAATATTACAATTTACTAATATGAATCTCTATTAGTGTACAACACTTTAAAGGGAAAAAAAAGACGTGTTTTTGCTCTAAGTATCTTACTGAGAGGAAACTCATTGATCAAGCAGCTCTTACAGGAAGCTAAAGATGTCTCAAAAGCATTCTGGAGAAAACTTAAAAGTGTAAGTTGTTTAGAATTTGTTCCTAGCTTTCTTATACCTCAGTTTATGGCTGAAGCTTTAAAACTGGTGCTAACATTTCACTTTTTCAGTTACTTTCAGAAAAAAACAACCAAAACAAACAAACAAACAAAAAACCAAACCAAAACCCAAGCACATAACCTACATTCCAGTTATTCACGATCTTTATGGAACAGTTAAAACCTGGTCATTTAATATCTGAATCATAATTTCACATATGCACTGCATGAGCTAAATATGTGATTCCCAACCTGTGAAATCTGCACATTCATTTTAAAACCCAAAAATCTGTCTGCTGAGGTATGCTCATGTGTATTTTGTTCTTTTTCATTTTTTTTTAAAGGGTGCCATTTAAGTAGTATGGAACAAACTCTTCAAAGGATCTCCAAGTTAGGCAAGAGTACTCGAATAAGCTCTTACCCTTATAAGAACTTTCATATCCTGACAGAGCAGACAGGACCTCCATCTAAATATCTCATCACAAAAACCCCCATCAAATAGTACTTAACTAATTTATTTCTCAAGAACAAAAGGAAATAATCACAGTAAAACATAACCCTGTGGTTTCAGGGGAAACAAGCTCCATCTGACTGTGTCACAGAGGTGCTCAAGCTGCTCTTTTTGCCTGCTTGTGCCTTGACTTCATCAGCACTAAGGAACACAATAAAGACCCTTCCTTATGGCCAGTTGGCACCTAATGTTGAAATTTTGAAAGCAATTATTAGAATAAAAGTTAGTTACCTGCATTGACAAAGGGGATCCCATCATATGGGACATACTGAGATTTCCACATCAACCGTGTGGCGGGTTTGGCTGGGCTTGGAGACTGGCGCGTCCCCCACACACTTTGTGTTTGCTGCTTGTGTAGCGTTAGAACACTCTCTAATTCTGTCTCGCTCACACAATAGCCGCGGTATGAGTCCCCAATTTTCTGCATGGAAAGGAGGTGAAATAATAGGATTATTCACCCTGCTGACTGCTGAACATTGCACAAGAAAACAAATGCAGTCAGGGACCCTGGCAGGTGAGGACACAGGCCCAGGTTTTTGGCATGTCATCATTTTTTCCCCACACTAGTATCCTTATGAATAGATTTACCACAGGATCTAACAACAGAGCAGTCCCCACTGGGGTCAGGAGTTTGCCAGCCCTCCAAGATCCTAAGTACACCAAGAACACCTGAAGAGATTATAGCTACTGACAAGTCTGATTTCTACAGGACAACTTCACTCCTGTTGTTTCCCCCAATGCACACTTCAGTTTCTCCTGAACAAATTTGTCCTAAGCAAACATTTTCACTTGAGTCTCACTAAGAATTGCTCAAGCATTAAAAATTGTCAATGCATCTCCTTCAACACACACACACTGCACTGAGCTAAAGCAGAATACACCTGCTTATATCACCAGTAATTGCCTCACCTGCTTGCTGCACTAACTTCAAATTGAATGTCTTACAGAATACCCCTCCTAATCTTCAAGGCACTCTCAATTCTCAACATTCCACAGAAATGCAGTATACCAGATTCGTCATGTGCAAACTGATGACTGTTCCAATGAACTCTGCCAAACTGCACACAACTCCAGAAAAACAGCATCTACCCTGACTCAAAGTAAAAAACCAAACAAAACCAAAACACAACAACAAAAAGAGCACAACTGGCTGACTTTGCAACATCCCCTGTGACAGCTGTTCAACTACTCAGAGCCATCACAGCTGGTTCAGATCTACCAGAGCCAGCCAGCAGCAAAAGTACTGGGACAGAAAAGACCTCTTCAAAAGAATTCTTAGTGCCAAGCTCACTTCTGTTCCTATGCAGCTCAGGATCAGGCTGACAAGCAGCTGGAAGTAACACCAGAGCAGTTTGCCAGCTCAGTCTTACAGCATATCTGTAAGACAAATGCATGGTGAATGAGACCTGTATTCTGATGGATATGTTTTGCCACCTTCAGTGACAGAGCAGCCTGTTGTTTAAATAATACTGACAACAAAAGCAGCAACAGAATCTGTCCAAGATTATTATCGCACAAATACTTCAGTGACAACTTCATAAAACTTGCCTTTTACCCAAGTAAAACAAAACATCTGTTTTTAGCAAGATCTAAAGTCAGCAGAGAAGAAACACCTTGTGAATGAGCTGGGCCAGCACGGTGTTGCTGCTAGGTCAAGCCCAAAAGCAGAGGGTTACGTATCCACCGGATGCATGAGTCATTCTGAGATACCAGTTGCTTGCTCTTCAGCAGCTCACTGCACTGCAAGCATACTGCTCCAGCAATTACACCTATGAGTGCACTCACACAGCTGTGGTGAGGAACAGAAGTTGGCAATTGTTCAGCCAGAAATTAGAAATAACACTTCTGTCCAAAACTTGATCTGAAAAATCCAGAAGCAGCAAAGCAGCCCGAGAAGTACCAGAAGTACCTTCTTCACAAAAACCTGGGATGCCACCTTTCACAAGAGGGATTACAGTACCACTCCATATAGGGAATAATGCATGACCAGCATTTTTCTTTCCATATCATGTACCTGTCACCAAAAATAAGTCACTGACCTTATTCTAGGGAGATGACAAGACTGATAAAACTGTTGTGATAACAGCTAAGGCACTGGCTCATATTCTGGCTTTACTTCTGCACTAGACCATTTTCCTAAAATGGGTGGGAGGGAAGTAGGGTGAGAAGAAAATCGTGCAGTACATAGGATCCCTGCTCTCTAGAGGCTTACAAAGTAGGAACAAATGGACAAATGAGACCATCTGTTCCAGAAAAATAAATTAACTTAGCTTTGTACAGTTGATATTAATGACACTATTTTAGTATGCTGATATATGCTGGAAATACAAAAGATCAGACCATTCAAAACTAAGTAGGTTATAGGAAATAATTATTTATTTAAATCCACTTTTTATTAGCAATTTAATTATCTTCAAGTAGTTGGATACTTTCCAACCCTTTAACTCCAGTGAAGCTTCAAGCCAAAAAAGGAGCAATTTCTTTCCTCTTCTTGGCCTCATCTCAGCAAGGGTACATAAAAGCTTACACTGAAGCACACACACCAAGACTGCAGTTTTCCTTGAGTGAGCCACAGCAGCAGGATACCAAAGGCATTACACTGTAGGCATGGCAAGTGTGAGCTGAAGATTTCAAGGCAGTCAGTGAATCAACACTAAACACAGAGCTTAGTGCTAACGCTGGACAGCTGCAGCTTTTAGTGCTCTTTGCCTGCCTGCAGTACTAACTGCCACAGGAGTCACTGCCCTTAGGAACACAGTCCTGGCGAGCTCCCTGGGATGTACAATTGGCAGCATGCACCCAGGCTATGCCATGGCTTCACCTGCTGCCATCTCCTGTGAAATTCACACAGACCTCAACACTGCTTAAGTTTGTTTCAGTTCTGGCAAGTGATACTGTGAGTTGCTGAATTTACCCACATCTCTAATAGATCTCCCAATTCTAGTTACCAGTAACAAAATCCTGTTACCAGTAACATAACATTTTGCAAGACAGTCACACCTGAAAGATAAATGACACCTCAAAATGCCATTGTCTCTAGTCTGTGCCCATAAAGGGACACATGCGCCCGAGAACTCTCCAGTGGATTTACACTGCATAACTGAAACTCAGCAAAGCAACTCTGCTGATAACACAAGAAAGAAGAGAATTTGGGTTATTCCTCCTGGGATGGGCTGACTCTGTAGGGAGAACAGCAACAAAACATTTTTTAAAATAACAGGGAAGATTGATACATACAGGTCATAGTTCTGCTGAACATCAGAAGCAGATATTCACATCCTCAAAACACATTCAAACAGACAATATTTTGATTTCCTTTTCTTTAAAAACAACTCTTATAAATGCTGCTGCTGCAAGTTTTAAACACAGCAGCTGAAACTTCTAACAGACTCAAACAAAGCAGATGGTAATACAAGTCCTCCTATAATATGAAACCGACAATAAATGATTCTGGTAATCTACACAGGTGTTAAGACAGGAAAGTATGTGTCACATAGTGCTAAAATCACAGTAATAAGGGTTAGACTTCCTACTGTACTTTAACAGCTAACTGGCCAACCGAATTAATTGACCCACTCTGTGAAAATGGTATCTCCACCATGAATTCATGCCACTAATTTTCTGACCACTTCATTTTTAAGTGGATATAATAGTGGACAGTGTATGAAATAAAAGGCATATATAAAAAAAGAATTTTTATATATTAGTTAACTTTAAAAATATTACTATTTTAAAAATATTTCTAAGTGGGTACAGACAGAAATTAAATTTCTAAGTCCCCGCAACTGCAATTTCACGTTATCAGTGGCCAAGCCAACAGCAAAAACCTCACTTGGTAGGGATATCTACAGAGGTGAATCAGCTAGAGAAAGCATGAGTTTTCCTTTAAAAAAGTATTACAGAGAAAATAAAAACACATCTATCAGGAAGAGTCTGGTAGCAGGAGGAAGGGGGAGGTGATCTCAAGAATCTTCCCATCTCCTCCCACTTCCTTTTAAGTGATTTATGATGCATTTTAGCTATTGATATCATCCCAGTCATCAGAACAGTTCTCCAGACATCTAACAGTACGCAGAGTTCTGTTTAGGCCAAAAGCCAGCACAGGGAATAAAGACAGATCACATTTTAACAAAAGAGAAAACAAGCACAGGTACATGCTGGTACAAAAGAAAAACAAAACCAAAAAAGAATCAAAAAACAACCCCAAGCCAACCAACCTTGAGAATATCTAAAATATAAATCCTCAATAAAACACTGACATTAAGGAGCATTAAGTCTCAGACTTGACCCTGGTGAGTCACATGGATTCTGATTTCTGTGTGACAACACAAACTAACACGAACACTTGCAGGCTTAGGCCATTTTATTCTTAAAGGATCAATAAGGGCAACAAAACCCAATTTGCTCAGCAGAAGTCAGCAGAGCTTGCACTGTAGTTCATGAGTGAACTCTAACGCAGCAAACAATGGCTCTTCCCAGCACTGCACAGCATCAAGATTTCAGAAGCCTAATTTTTGTTTCAGGAGTTGTTGATAGTCAGTTATTCTAGCATTTCCAAAAAGGAAGGTATTCTATAGCATTTTATACGTTTAAACATGCCAGTAGTACCAGCACTATTTCACAATACCAGGAAGCTTGAACACAACTTCTACAACTGTCAATTATTCCCTTCATGGAATAGGGAATAGATCCAGATGATAAAACATCAAGTCAGAATTCTTTGCAGCCCACCTCACAGTTCCTGAGACGGCGTGCCCATGAGGGTGTATTTGGTGGCAATAGCTGGAGAGGGATGGGAAAGGGATCTTCCACTACCCTGAAAAACAAAAGCATGTAGTAGAAGTCTACACTGACATACAGGAAAGCGACCATTTAGTCTAAACTGCAGGTAACATCAAATCAGGGCACTATGTTGTCTTGGGTTCAGCTGTAACAGTTTTTCTTTTCCTTCTTCGTAGCCGGTGCAGTGCTGTGTTTTCAACTTTAATCCCAGAACAGTGCTGATAACACACCGATGTTTTAGCTGTTGCTACGTAATGCTTACCCTGATCAAGGACTTTTCAGTCTCTCATGCTTTGCCACTGAAGAGGGGCACAAGAAACCAGGAGGAAGCAGAGACAGGACACCTGACCCAAACTAGCCAAAGGGGTATTCTATACCGCAGCACTTCATGCCCAGTATATAAACTGGAGGGAGTTACCCAGAAGGCCCAGATCACTGCTTGGGTTGGGCTGGGTATTGGAAACAAGGAGGAAGCAGAGACAGGACACCTGACCAAAACTAGCCAAAGGGGTATTCTATACCGCAGCACTTCATGCCCAGTATATAAACTGGAGGGAGTTACCCAGAAGGCCCAGATCACTGCTTGGGTTGGGCTGGGTATTGGTCAGCAGGTTATGAGCAATTGTACTGTGCATCACTTGTGTTTATTGTTTTCTTTTCCTTTTCCTCTTTTAGTTTCTTATTCTCTCTCCTTGTTATTTCCTTTATTATCATTATTAGTAGTAGTTTTGTATTGTACCTTAGATACTGGACTGTTCTTATCTCAACCCATGGGATCACTTTCAACTCTTGGTTGGCAGTATCAGTGTCTCTTTGCAGTAATTTCAGTAATTTGCATTGTTATTTTAAATGCACATCTACTGCTCTGGTCAGAATATATCCAACTATCTCTGGAATACAGGTCCTTTAATTGACTTTTCCATGCTCTGGCACATACAAAAGCTGCCTGGAAACACAGTTAGCTACAAATCATTCACTAGTACTGAGGGTTCACAACCTCTATTCTAAGGTAATTTTCTGATAACCATTGCAAAAACAAACTGCAACAAAAGCACTACTAGCAGTGGATCAAAGACGTTCATCATTTTAACTCCTGACCTACCTGGTGGTTGTTTTTTTCGATACGGTGAGAGATGCCTGTGGATGTAGAATGTAACTGCTTCCACTGTCTGCTATAGCAGCCACTACTACAGTCTGCAAGTTCCCATCACCACGCTTCTCTTCTGAAACATCTTTACAAAAATAAAACAGCCTCCTGGTTAATAAATGAACTCAGAAAGGGGAAATGACAAGCAACAATTAAACTCTGTGTTGGCAAAGCAAGCATTTTGACATATGCAATAAGATCTCTAGACGATAAGGTAGTTTAACAGTTGTGAATCAATACTTAAACTCTAAGCACACATAGAGAGATACACTTGATAAGGTTGTTTATCCTCAAGGACAAATCATGTCACTGCTAACAAAACCTTCCACAACCAAGCAAACAATCGGAAGAACCTGTACATGACTCTGCTTTACATTTCCTCAAAACCTTATAGGATTGCACAACTATTTTGTTCAGGTGCAAATCACACTCTGATTGCTTTTGAAATAAGAAAAAAGGAGATTACAACACTGCTTTGTACTTTGAAAAGAAGGCCTAAACTAGAAAAATAGGCCTCTTGTAATTGAACCTGACATGCTGTTGGAACAAATGTTTTAGCCTTTCTTCATAACAGGGAGCAATCTGTAAGCCAGAAAATACTGTTAGAACGAAGGCTGTATATATTTTGTTAAACAAAAACACAATGGAAAACTGTGAAGGCAGACATTTGACACTTCGGTCTCAACATAAAGAAATGGGAGCTCTCTTTATAAGCGGGATTTTTATCCCTCAACTATGAAAGCTTCTTCCCCCCATTCCAAGAGAGGGTGATAAACTATTGTCTAAATACAGAAATTGCTCCACTAGAAAGTTTGTGCTGGAAGATTCCCAAGTGTGCACCTCACATTAACACCACTCTGTTTCAAAGCTGAGAGCACTGGTTCCTCTACACAGACGTGCCCTTAAGACACTACAGTCTACTCTGAAGCCCTATGCCATTTCATGCATTACCACCACGTGCAGGTAAGTGAAACTCAAAGGCCAACAGTCCATTTTCCTTTCCTTTTAATCTCCATAGTAAATCACTAACAAGTCTTCCTGTCTTTCAAAGATAAATAACTACAAAGTGTTTTACACAGTATGTCTCTAGAAAAGAAAAACCAAACAAACAAAACCACAAAACCCCCTACAGAACATGTATTCAAATACCACAAAACTGAGCTATTTGCAAAGAGAGAAGAGTGTTTAAGATGAAAAATGAGAATACAAAAGTACTATTTGGCACTGCAATTTATTGCCTACAAAAAGTAGCAGCAATTCTTTAGTAACTAAAGGCTCACAGTCAGCTTAAAGTCACATAAGATGACACTGTAACTAAACAGTGGTCTTACCCCTGCAAAAGCAGGTGGAGAGGAAGAAAAAAAATGAGCATTAGGTTAGAAGCAAGCCTTTCGATGCAAGGTCAGGAACCATATCCCAACTGTAAGTGAAAAGGGCTGGATCATGACTGAATCCCAACTCCTTTTTTTTCTATCCACCCAGCATCAGGACTGTAGTCTCCTACCTTTGAGCTCTCATTGCACGGAAGCACTTAACTAGTCCTCAGATTTTGAGAATTCGCTTAGATTTTGAGGACTTCATACAGAAAATGCAAAGACAGTTAAAAAAAACCCAAAACCTTGGAAAGTTTAACAAAATATGACAACCTAGTTCTCAATCTTATTATGTGAATAGAAACGAGTACACAGAATTTTGCCACCCAGCAAGGCTTGCAGATAAATAATGCATTCAGATTTCAGTATGTCCCTTTTCTAGGGAGAAGCTTAAAATTTGTGCTTCTAGTTGTGCATCTCACCACTTACTTAAAATGCGACAATTAACATACTGAGGGAAGTGAACTTAGCAATGAAGTGAAGGTTACATCTCATTTTCTTCAACGGAAACCAAATTTCTACCTAGGAACTTCATTCCTGGCTTTGCAAAAGATGCATCATCACCAGTGATCTCTGGAACAGACCAGAAGAACATTAGTTCTTCTGTCTGTATTAACTACTTCACTCAAAATTAAGTAAAGAGTGAAGATTTGAAACTGATAGTACAGCTTTCTGACTTGGCACAAACACCCTTATTAATGGTAAAGACGGCAAGAAGCAGTTTGTGCTTGATATCTCAATCTATCCATCATATATCTAAAGTATAACAGCTTTTATTTCATAAGGCTTTTGCCCAACAAAAAACATGGTGTGTGGGGTGCCAGATTCGTAATCAGAAAGCAAATTCAGTTAAGTATGTATGTTTGTCTTGTAACTGATACGGAAACAAATATAAACAAGATGCTTAGAAAGAAATGATGCAGCATATGTTTAGTCACAGGAACAAACACTCTCAAGTCCCACACGTTAAACTCACCCTGCGTGCTGGTCACATCCAGAAGTTGACCTTGAGGAATAATCACTTGGGCCATTCCTGGCTGGGCAGAAGGAATGACATGCAGCACCTGTCCATTTTCTGACTGGCTGGCAACAATCATCTGTAAGGCAACCACACAAAGGTATGAATGGCATTAGTTTGGACAGTTATCATCATGCAGCACTACTGGGTTTGCTTATTACCAGAACAGGAAATATTTTGGTTGCAATTATAGCATATAAATTAACTTGGTTTCATATAATAAAAACCCTGCCTATTTACTGTCTATTCCTTAAAACTACTTTCCCTCTTTTACAATAGCCCTTTAATTAAAGAGAAAAAAAAGAAACAAACCCTAAACCTTATTGGATTTTACAATGAATTACACATTAATTTCAATCTTACAACACTATTTTTAAAGACATTAAAAACCTGAAAGCCATCCGTGGTTGGATTCACTATGATCCCATTAACAGACTAGCAGAATTAATCACAACATATAAAATTTTGACCTTTACTCCTAAGAAACTGAAGTCTATGCAAAAAATGACAGAAGAAAAGCTCCAGGACTTAAAATAAATAAATAACATCTCCTAGAATTCTAGAAAACATATATGACTCCTTATGGTATATTTTCCCATAATTATCAAAGACTTGTTCCCAACAATGTTATAAAACCTAGAACAATGTAAAATGTCATCTTGTTTCTGATTTCTTACACTTTAAATGGTTGAAGTGTCTTTAGTGACAGCACAACACATGCCAACCAAACCTTCTGGGCTAGAGTTACCTTTTTACAAAGTAAGTGTTAAGAATTACAAAGCAATGTTTTAAACACATTAATTGCAGAGAGGTGGGAGGGAAGGTGAGACACACAAGTTAGCTTGTTGCTAATATTCTAATCCCCACCCAGAAAACAGAGACACTTATTTCAGGGAATATAGGTAAAGCAGCAGCAGTAGAAGTATGAGGTCTCACACAGTAACATCCAGGCTTGATAACGACAAAAGACATAAGTTGTTTAATAAAATTAGTAATGGTTGGAGACAGGATTTGCCTATCTGAGGATGAACAACTGCAGCATGAACTGAACCATTGAAAAGTTTCACCTTGTTGCTAAAGTCCAAATCAGCTGTTTTACAACAAACAAGCACTTTGTGAAAGAGTTTGACAAAAAGCATCCTTGCCTGTGACACCTGCCCTGTTTTCAAGCACACTCACCATCGGTGCACTGGGCCCTCCAGGGGGCTGCAGCTCATAGAGAGGCTGCTCACTTTGGTCCACCACGTGGGACTCTTCTGTGGAGTGAGGCTGTGGCTGGGGTGGCCGTGCAGGCGCAGCTGATGATGGAGAGCTGCCCGAGAGGCGTACTGCGATGGGCAAGGCTGTGGGAGAGTCACTCGGTCCAAACAATGGATCCCTGGAATCCATGCAGGTTAGATGCTTTCACAGAGGAAAAACAGTAAAATGTACTTTAATCTTGAGTAGCAATTTCTATTAAAGGAAAAAAAAAAAAAGAAAGAAGGAAAGAAAAGAACATTTAAAACCAGTGTGCTGTACTGTATGTTCGGAGGGAGCTCTCATTCTTCTGATCAAGAAGCTACCAGGTAAAACTACACTTCTAGTTTTGTTTTCCATATCCCTGATGAAAATGTATTCATATTTCTGTTTCCTAGAACAAACTCTCTCTATTAAGGGGAAAGAAAATCCCTTGTGCCCAAAATCTGTTTCCTAAAATGTCGTGGTTCAAGCCCAGCCGGCAACTTGGAACCACGCAGCCGCTCGCTCACTCCCTCCCTTTTCCCTCCTCCCCCCGCTCCCAGAGGGATGGGGAGGAGAATTGGAGGAATGTAACTCCCATGGGTTGAGATAACAGCACTCCAGTAACTAAGGTATAATACAAACCACTACTGCTACCAATAATAATGATAAGAGGAATAACAAGGGGAGAGGACACAACCGCTCACCACCCGCCGACCGATACCCAGCCTGACCCGAGCAGTGATCTGGGCCTTCCGGGTAACTCCCCCCAGTTTCTATACTGGGCATGACGTGCTGTGGTATGGAATACCCCTTTGGCCAGTTTGGGTCAGGTGTCCTGTCTCTGCTTCCTCCTGACTTCCCCTCCTCTCTGGCAGAGCATGAGACTGAGAAAAGTCCTTGGTCAGAGTAAACATTACTTAGCAACAACTAAAAACACGGGTGTTATCAGCATTGTTCCCAGGCTGAAAGTCAAAAACACAGCACTGCACCAGCTACTAAGAAGGAGAAAAAATGACTGCTGTAGCTGAACCCAGGACATAAAGGCATCTCGAATCAGTCCTAAATGAGAGAACTTATACCAAGAACAAAACTGTAAAATATCCACCAACTTCCTTTGACTCCAAAAGAAATCCTAGCTACTACTCCACTTGGCCTTTAGATATATGTATTTAGCTATGAAGACAAAAATTTCCATAAGCCTTGTTAATTCCTTACCACAGAAGAAACATAAGCAACTCAAACCCTCCAATTCAAGCCCAAGAATTACATAGAGCAAGACCAAGGACCAGATTTTGCATGTCTCAAAAACTATGTACTCAGAGCTTATTCTCACCAAGCTTGCAGAATCAAGGTCTTACAGCACATCCCATTTTGATTAAATTTAAACCTTAAGCACAAATGTCTTGTTGAAATTCTGACAACACAAATATTGAACATGTAAAAATAACTGCAAATAGGCAGCCCACATGTATAATATCATGACAGGCTGTCATTTGGCCAATGCAAATGACACTTGCATGCTGTTTGTGGTATCTCTTGCAGCAATCACACAATCAACTCTGACATTTCTGCTACAAAAATTTGTAAACTGTAAATCCAAAGAGTGGGGAAGAATGTTTCTAAATTTAATATTGAAGACAGACCTGAGCCAAATAACCTCAAAAACCTTGCAAGAATAAATCTTCTGTGCTAAAACTGTCTATTGTAAACTCCACCAGAAAAGTAGCAAAAAATAAATTGCACTAGTTGTGTTAAAGACACTGTGCAGAGACCATAAGCATGCTACTAAGTCACTACCCGAATCATATTTTGTCTTAGCTGAAGTAATCTGCAGAACATTTATGCACAGAAATATCTCTGATTAGAAGTATCTGGCAAAATTTGGTAACAAATACATTAAACACTCCCCTTCCCCAATACCTACACCGACATCCTGTGTCTGGATTATTTGCCATTTGGTCACTAAGCAATTTGACCCAATTTTCGATTCATTACCCAACTCTGTCATGCAGCCATCTTGAAGTAAATTACATTTGTTTTAAAGTGTTATAAAACAACATATAACGAAATGAAATTACTATTGTGAGTCTACAGCAGGAAGCTTTGGGAAGAAAACCCAACAGATTCTGAACCCTTTTTACTCCAAGGCATGTCATCAAGTATTCTTTTATTAAAGGATTTTTCTAACACAATAAAACATATATTTCTTCAGCACTGTAACAGGTTCTATTAATATAATTACTAAAGGTTGTCGTTACATGCAACATCTGGATATTCATCAGTTCAAAAGTGAACAGCACAAGAACCCAAGGGAAGGAACTTTTGTACTTCTTAAAAGACACAATGTATTACTATAAAGGCAGGGAAAACCCACTTGGATGAAATAACATACTACAGATTCATTACAGAGAATGTAAAGAAAGCATCTACGAAGATAGGGCATTCATACCTCACCTGAAAAACCTGATCGTTGGTTTCTGATTCTCCTGTACCATTACAGTTGCCTATGAACAAATCATTAGATCCTTCCATAGCAATGTTATGGTCAGCTCCATTTTTTTCCATTACAAGATGACCTGAAAAAGTTACAAAAGTTTATTTCAGCCTTCCATACTTCAGTCTCAACCAAGACATTGCTGCAGGTTTTTCTTTTGTCTTACAAATTTAGTCTTACAACTTCTAACACCATTGCAAGCTAACAGCAAAGCCCTCAAGAAATCCCTGCCTGTTTATCACTTTATTACTCACTGCAGAAAAATTTCGGTGTTGCTCTAGGAGTATAGTTTAGCCTCTTGTATAAGAATTTGCTAGACTTGCCTTTGCACACACAGATACAAAACACACATACACATTCATGATTTAACCTAAATATGTCCACAAGTGCTCAACTAACAACCATACACATCTAGAAAACACTCAATATTTAAAGATATGCCAGGATTGCTTTACAAAAATATTAGTCACCTACTTCCATTGATTAACAGGACTTGTGTCACCCAAATCTGTCATGCAGACGTCTTGAAACAGATTACATTTGTTTTAAAGGGTTATAAAACAACATATAAATGAAATGAAATTACTAGTGTTAGTCTACAGCAGTAAGCTTTGGACAGGGAAAATGCCAGCTATTCTAAATAAAATTTGGCATTCACCACATGATGAAAGACAAAAAGACAGAGCTCCTGGTACTCTGGAGTTCTACCTCCTGTCCCAAAGAAAACTACTTCAAGGAGCTCAGCTGCCCACCATAAACCATCAAGCAGAGAATATTGGACAGTGAATTGCTACATCCACAGGACACCCAAACAGTATACCCTTTAAAGGGGTGGCCAATCCCAAGCATTCACAAGCAATGAGACAAACCCAACAAATTAACTTGGCCTCTATTTTACTAGAGTACATGTATACTAGACTACACGCATAATATGCCAAACTGAATAAAAGAAAACTTAATTCCTGCAGTTTGGGGTGAGGGAGGGGGAAAGGCATTCAGGATTTTTCCCTTCAGTAGTTATTTTAAAGATAGGCAGCATTATATTAGCACGTGACTCCTATCAGCTTTATCTTCTTCACTACACCACATAGAAGGTCCTGAAATGGGCCTTCTTGACTGTGCTATTTGAACTGTTTACAGCTGTAGTAAGGTGATTGTAAAAGGCTAGAAAATCACTTGAAAAGAAATGTACAACCCTTGAAGGACAAATTTATCTTGCTTTGCAAGGATACGAAGGACCACAGGCAAAGTCAATCTACATCTCCTTGGCTTTTGAAGCTGAACGAAGCATCCAGCTGATACAAACAACATTGAGAAGTTAAGCTGCTCATATGCTCAATACACTAAATACTTTAATCTAAAGCAGTTTTATTTTTCCATTCAATTTTCAAGCGATAACACTCCAAAACCAAGTTCCAAATGAAGTTACCTCATGTTCACCAAATACTTTGTAGCTTTGTGTCTGAGAACAATTCTGAGACTTTCAGTTAAAATGTCTGAAGCAGCCTATGAAAATAAGACACAAACTGGATTTCCTCATCACTCAACCATTTTCCCTCAGTTAAAAGATGTCAAGAAGATACGTCAGTTTGCCAAAGCAGCACATTTAGTTCTCCAACATAAACTGAAGAGGTTTGTTCCAGAGATACCGATGGCACGTACCCTGAGCATGCTGGAATCTGGCTACAGAACACAAGGATGGCTGTACTGGGACAGACCAACAGCCCAAAATCCTGTATCTAACACTGGTTAATGATAAAGCTCAGGGGAAAGATTACAGCAGTAGGGCAAATATACAGTGATATTTATCCAGTTTCCTCTTACAAGCATCCCAGAAATTGCGGAAGTTTTATCTTTGTGTTTAAAAAATCCCCATGGTACATTTTTGCCTGTGACGTTGTCTAACCACTGCTCTAACCCAGGCACACGCATCAACCTGCATAATGAACTCCATGGTTTAACCGTCAAGGTTCCACTAACTTCAGTGCCGTGCAACCACAAACAAAAAGATGGTTTTTTGTCTTAAAGAAATATACTTTTACAGATACTTAAAAGTAAATTCATAGGTAATTAATTTAATAGTTGTATTAATATTGCTAGCAGATTCCCCAAACAAGACAGTTAAATTCAGTATACATAAATACGTGTGGATATTTTGTCACGAATAATTAACATAGATGCAAGTACCTCTTCTTTTCATATACACTTTACATAAGCACCACAAATATTCCAATGTAACACCAGCATATCCCACATTTAACAAGGGGCTGAAGGGAAATATGAGAGTTTAATATTAGTGCACACATCAAACAGACAGCTCTCTATGTCTGAGCTTTAACCCAAACCACTCTACAGGCTGCCCTCCATGAAGTCTACCACTCCAAGGCAGTTTCCAACCCAATTAGCACATTTTAATGCCATTGCACCATTTCCTTTGCTCTGCCTTCATTTGGGAAGTACTCTGCTCAAAATAAAGGGAAAATATAGCTATTGCTACGCTTGGTTTTACTCTACAAAGAGAGAAAGCAACCACAAGCAGATGGAATTAACCATCATGAGCGTTTTATGCAGGATCTTCAAGACAGCAAACATGCACTGCAATCTAGCCTACAATTACCATCTGTGGTTCAATTCCACAGACAAATGTGCTGACAGTTCAAGATCATTTAGCAAAACACAAAAGGCAGTGAGATTTCCATTTATTTAGCCATCAAGGATTGCCACGCTAACACAGCTGTCAAAGCCAGGGGCATCTCTTGCATTCACTCTGTCCTCACTGACTTGGTATCTGCAGACAACTTGCATAACATCAGGAACTGTAAACAGAAGCAGGATTTCCATGCTCACTCTGAGGTGAACAGCTGCAATCCCCTCTCTCATCCAGAAGCCCTCCTACTGATTCTCAATATACAAACTTTCAAAGACACCAACAGACAAGTCAAACTACCATTGCTTTAAAAACCTATTATTGACCAGTCACACCTCTGCTCTGTCTTAAGGCAAAGTATTTGATCTCTGTTTTCTTATCTCCAATCCTTTATTCTACGTAATACCTATACCTACCACCTACAAGCAGTGGTCCCTAAAAATACACCAGTTCTAGACTGACATAATTGTAAGGCCTCATATGAATGCTTATTTCTACCTTCCCTCGGTTATGAGGCCTCCTTGTAAAGTCAACACGCATCCAGATCCCACAGGGAAGTGCAGCCTTTCAAAATCACAGAACTAATTATTTTAACACCAAGTCAACATTGCAAGATTTTAGTTATAAGAAACCTAAACTGTAAAAAACAGGTAAGTCTATTATGGTAGTAAGTATATTCTACCTAGGAATACCTGTCTGGGCAGGAAGGAGGCAATTCTCTTAGCAGTTTTCAAGCTTCAAGTCTTCAATGCATACCCATTAAAACCAAAAGTAAAACAAAGCTTGACAGTGCAAGTTCATGTTTTCAGCAATTCTGACAGCAATATTCCCCACTCGGGTTTTAATTTAGACTTTCTGATGGGAAATATGTACAGTATAATGCCCCACCAAGAATCTTTTTTGGGATTTCCATTAGATGTTTAGAGGTTGTATGTAATGATTTAAGATAACTGCAGTGCTCTCTGAAAAAGCTACCTCTGACGACATATCTCTACCCTCATTATGAAGAGCATGGGCTACAATGAAACATAACAGGGAGGAAATTAGTGCATAGCAATACCCTCAAATAAACGAGTTACAATTAGCTTTACATTAACTTGTACCAGGTTTGAGATTTAGCTTCTCCCTGTCACTGAAGAGCAGGCGGATACTGTTAAGAATGCACAGAAGATCTGGGGACTCCTGCCTAAAAGGTTTCCCCAGTTGTTTTTGTGCAGTTAACACAAGTACCTGGAAAACACACCTGTGTCGATTATGCTCACCATGTTAGACCTTTTAATTACATTTAAGAAATAGATGAGATTTCAGAGCCTCACAAAACACCTGCCTGCTCCAACAAGCTGCCCCAACCGGAGTCACCGCACAGGGAAAGCTCAACTGTGCCCCGAGAGGCCACAAGCAACTGTCAGAAAGGCAAGGGAAAAAGCGTACCTACAAACCAAGCACGCGGCACGTACTCCCACAAGCAGCCTCCTCCCGAAAAACCCAATTCCCTCACAGCTTCTTTTAAAGCCCACTGATGTGCCACTTCACATGCAAAGAAACACAACCTACACCCAGACGGTATC